ACCTTTTAAATAACAGAGGCAATTTTATTTCAATACCACAATTACTCTGAACTCTCAAATGTCAAAGTGCCGAGCACTTTCAAAATAACTTGATTTAGACATTTATAGCACTTAGACACTGCTAGTTTCTTATCTAACCTAATTATGGGTTGTACAGGAAATTGCAAAGCATCCCAATTAATGTTATTTTTTATAGTGATACATTTGGGTGGCCTTTGCCATTTGCCGTCACCGTGTGCACAGTGATTTACTAATTTTGGTTTTGAGTTAGTTTCCTGGCAGAACAGAGCTCTTCTATCCTCTGGTTGCTCTTTGAAGGCAAGCAAGGAGGAAGTAGAGGTAGAAGTGAGCATAGCAGTGTTTCCCTGAGGGCACATGTTCCCATGACAGCAGAGTACCATTACAAGGCAGGACTGTATAATGCATAGAGGTGCCATATAGAATAATGACTGGCTGTCAATCTTGTTGATCTTCTCTGGCCCAAGTACTTCAGCCAGGATTCTCTTACTTACTTGTTTCCCACAGGAATAGTGCAGAGGAATGAGTTTTGTAAAGCTGCTTCTCTAGCTGCCTGAAAAATCTCTTTGCAGACAATGCTGAACAGTTTCCCCTTCTAGTTCCTGTGCACAGCAGCCAGAACCAGGTGGAGGAAGCGGTGTAGCAGTATCCAGTGACTTCAGGTTTGCTTTTATGCTAAGCAGAAGACACATGTGCAGTTACCATATTTGGAAGTGATTACTGTTGCCCATCCCCATGTGTTTTGTGCCCTGCATATTTTGCATGATGTCTTGGTACTGTGCTGTGTTCCCCCTCGGTGTCTGGAGAGAACTGTTAGCAGTCAGAGAAGTTCCTGCAGGCCTTTTCTTTCCTGAAGATAATCCAAAAGGATCAATGACTAATTTAAAGAAGAAAGATGCAAGGCTGAGGGTACCTACGTACTATAGCTGCTGTCAGCTGTGACCAGAGCAGCCCAGACCAGGAAGGTGGAAGCCCCAAAGGTCATCTTGTGCAGCTATGTGTACAGAGACCTAAATACACCACTGTGTTTTCATTTGCTTCCTTAGAGTAAAATAGTGCTGCAGACAAAATGGCTTACCAACTCAAATTAAATCCAAGGGGGAAAGTTTGAGTTCAAGTGATAGGCTAGCTGACATCTCAACATCTGTTTTATCTCCATTTTATCTTTTCTTCTGAGTGGAATAACACAAATTTGGAATCTTCTATTGACATGCTGTCTTTCAATCTCCTTTGCTTCCCAACCAAGGTAGTAAAATGGAGTCAAACCAGGTGGTGGAACAAAGCACACCAAATTAGTGTATTTCAGCTGAGTGCAGGAAACTCAGAAGAGCAATTGTTATGTAGTGGAATTTGGGAATTTTGTATTTTACCCTGGCAGGTTATACTGAAGCCAAAACCAGTCTTTGCATCTTGATGTCACTCAACAGAGATGTTTTGGAGACGCCCTCAAAAAGCAGAATTTGACCTACAAATCAATCAAGTGAGACCTCATCTTTTTCAGTCCTGCTGTGCCAGCAGAATGTGGCCAAACTCTGGCTGAAGACACAATTTTACCAAACTTCTTAATGACAAGAACCCCACAACTATGTTACAGTTATTCTAAAACAAATAATTTGCTTGTAATTACAGAGATAATGACATTCTGACCACACCTACCAATTAGAAAGTTGTAATAGTAATAAAACACCTTTTCCTTGGGCTGCAGAATCAACCCCCACACAGCCCACAACACTAATATGATTTACTCCTATTTGCTGATGGAGGATTCTAGTAATAAAATTTAATGTGGAGGAACAAGGTGCATTTAACCAAAGCTGTAAACATCTCTAATTCTATTTAAAGCTATAGGGTGTAGTACATTAACATTTAACAATCTGATACTAAATTGATGTGAAGCTAATAGAGCTGTATTTGCTAAAATTTCAGCACTAGGCCATGTTTTACCAATGACAACAAAAGGAGTAACCAAAATAGTACAGCTCAGCAGACTACAACTGCTGCTTAATAAGGCACTGAGTCTTCATGGGAGCTCCTGTCATAAAAGAACAGTGGACCACATTTAGCTCTGCTGCTCTTCTGCTGAATCCAGAGGGAGTTAGGCCATAGATTAATTTGGCCTTGCAGTTCCTCTTAGAGGGAGCTAAATCAAATTTATTCTGCTTTTCTACCACTAAAGCACATTATACTTAGTGAAGTTTTCCTCTCCATAGTCTTTCAAGTGAGTTACTTTGATACTTAAAGATGTACAATTAATTGCAAGGTAAAGGATGATGTTTTTCTTTGTCCAATAATATGATCTGACATTAACAACTCTGGGTTGTCATTGCATAAGAAAAAGCATAGCAAATGTCTGCTCAGGAGGATGGGAGTTCTCCTAAATAGCATTCCTGGCCCCCTTTCCCTCAGTTGGTCTGTCACCTTTCAGGATTCTGCTGTCATCTGAAGTTGGTCACAAATAGAAAACATTTTAAAATTGTGTAATTTTCTGCAGAATGAAAAATTCTGGGACTGTCTAAATGCTGAGTATGAGATACTCAACATACTGTTGAATTGTTCTCTAGCACGCAATAAATCCTACACAGATCAAGAGAACATAACTGACCAAAAAAGGTAATTTATTTATCTCAATTAATTATTGTTTTGGGGAACGATATATCAAACATAAACAAGAATATATAAAACACTAATACACAATGGTATTCATTAAAATACTGGGCATAAACATACAGTAGAGGATTTTTCTGAACGATGAGCACAGTGGCCAGTTGTATGTAAAATGAATGTTTATATACCAAACTTCAGAACTAATTGGTCAACTTATTAATGCGTTAGGGGTTTATTTTTAATTCTAAAGGAATCACTAATAAGTTCTATACTTTTCTAAGGCCTTCCTTACAGCTGTCTGCTTAACAGATGTCCTCTCTGAATAGTCAGTCAAACTCTGGCTGTTCCCAAACTGATTCCTGAATGTCTGATCACCCTATAGCACCAATTTTTTTTTTGGTCAGTAAGTTGATTGCTGTTGTCATTGAAAGTCCATCACCTGATCAGAGAACAAGGAAAGACACCATGCCCTTTTTGTGGGTGATTAAACTGCTGGGATAATGAAAAAGTGAAACAAACATCTTCTTGACAGCTCACAAATGCGAACATTAGAAATGCAAACAATTACTAGCAAACTTATTAATAAAAGCTGACCTTAGTTTGAGAGAGCTGTTTCGATGGGGGACTAGAGCTGGAATTAGTACTGTACAGAATGGCCAGCCTGAAAAGCTTTTCTTAAATTCTTTTTTCATACAAGAGATTTTTATCTAACATGGAAGCAGGCGAGTGCATTTTACACTTACACATCCTGGCTATACAGTATCAGATTATGTATGCTCCCTAATACCTGTTTAAAATTACCCCTGTTCATAAAAGTTAAAAAGCAGTTTATACAGACTCGCTTACTCTGGAGAAATCCTCCAAAAGGCAGTGATGTGATCTCTCCCTTTGTCACGTGTCCCATCCTTCCATTGTCACCCCTACACTCTTCTCCTCTGCTCCCATGCAGTAACAGGAATAAGGGCATGAGTATTCCTGCAACGGTTCCCAGCTATGCTCTGAGCCCTGGTGAGAAGTTGCTGTACCACTAAAATGGCTTGACCTTAGTCAGGACTTTAAAATTCAAAGCCTGCAAATGTTACTGCAAACTCCACACTGAATATTTCTAAATGAGTGGCCTGTCAAGGGGTTTCCTCACTGACTCGGAGAGGAGCTTGCACATGCCAAATATCAGATCTCTAGGGCCTGATGCTGAGCTACAGAGCCCATGCTTTCAAGTTTCCAATAATTCTGCAGTTACTCAAGGGCTAAAGCTTCCCAAGGGCTGAAAGTTTTTGTGCATTCAGTTCTCCCTGGGCTTTGGTAGAAAATGTGCATTGGAGATTTAGGAGATTAGAAACATCAGTCCAGCTATCCTTCATGACTTACATGCCCAGGATACTGCAGCACAGCCCATTTTCCATGAATGCATATCAAAGGAAAAAGAAGAACTCCTTCTCAGTTATCCAGAGTGAAATGAGCCTATTTCTTCACTTATGTCCTGAGCACTAGTCTTTCCAAAGAAATAACTCCAAAGTAAGTGAGCATGCCATTAAGGGAGTCTGCTCCATACTAAAGGAGTTGTTTTTTCCCCGCTTCTAGATCAGCAATTCAGTAATGTAGGCCACAGGAGGAAATTTTTGCAGGTTTGGAAGCACCAGTCTAAATCAAGGCCAAGAGCTGTGTCCTGGTTCTGTTGAAGTCTTTTGCTCGCTATCAAGTTTTCTCTGCTCCCCGTCAGAATCAAAACCAGATCAAATCCTGGAAAATATCCTAGGCTGTAAATATTCTTCCTTAAATCATTGGCATTTGACTATGAATGTTTCTCTTTTACTTTTTTGAAATGTTTGATTTCCAGCACTTAGGAAGAACTTCACTAGAAGTAACGTAAGTTTTTTAAAGACAATGTCATTTAGAAGGAAAATCTGAAGATATAGAAATCAAACCTTTTTATAACTATTTCTGGAGGGGGAAAAAAAGCAGGAAAAGTAATTTTAGCTTTCCTTTGCTGTTGAAAAAAAGTCTCAGCTTTACTCAGCTAATATTTTTCTGATGGGAAAAATAGCATTAAATTGACAAATCTCCTGGTCAGTGGACTTTGTCTTCATAAGCAGGCTGATGCGTGTGAATAGTGCCACTACTCCTTCCGAGGCTTGCCAAGATGTTGATGTTTGCAGCTGGAGTCATCACGTTAGCATCAAAGAGGGAGTAAGTTTTAGTATTGAAAATGCCTCAGGTGGAACTTCAGACCATTTAAAACAGGAGATCCAAACACTATGAAAGGTGTCTCTGGGATGTCACTTGTAGACGAGTTGCTTTTTCTGTGGGTACTTTCAACTACATTTTTTTTAAAAGTCTCATAGAAAAAATAGAAGTGCATGAATGGAAATTAAAAAGAGGACATTTGTACGATTTTTATAAATAAACAGCATAGCAAGAATTAAATAGAACACAGACAAAGGACAATTATACAGGGATGAACTGTTACAGCTTGTTCTCCTCAAAGAGTATCTGTGCATAGACTGTCGTACTGGGAATGCCTTTGGCTTCCTGAATCGGCTTCATAAGTTCAAGTTCAGCATATGTTAAACTCTCCTCTGTGATCTTTGGCTAGGAAACAGAACCAACAAATTACAGTTATAACGTTGTTACCACTGAATGTAAATGTTCTATAGAATGGGCTGTATTTCTTCTCTCCAACATGCTAATTCTACTATGCTGTTAATCATTTTAGTCTGTGCTAGAGTTAGGTCACAGGAGATAAAATAAGAATAATAATAAAAATAAGAAACAGGAGAGAGTAGGATTTTCAGGTTCATTTCCAATTTCTCCTTGTTTCTTAAACACTGAACATTTTAATTTGACAATTCAAATATTGCAGATGTGAAAGATGTGTGTCAGTTATTGCAGATTTCATGATTTAAAATATATCTACGCCAGATTTGCTTCCCAGCTGTAAACCTTGGACTAGTTACATTTCTAATCACAGCTACTCACAGTACCTCTTATAAATTATGTTTCTTAACAGAACAAAAAAAAAAAAAATTAAAAATATGTAGGAGACAGCAAAAAATGGATAGAATAAACTTAGAGTCATTCCAATGGGATTAGTAACAAACAAAAGAGTTGCTGTGGCATTGTACGTGGGGCCCTAATTCTTAAAAGGGATTTCAGTTCATCTGTAGATTAAAGTTCATGCTTCCTGAAGAAGGATGAAATGCTAAGGCCCTGTGCAAATGAAGAAGTGGGGGATTTGTTCTTTTATCTTCTTGTGCACTGTGTTCTACCTGAATATAACTGGTCCTCCCAAGTTTAAGCCTAAAAGGGCAATTAAAACAAAAAAAAACTATGCACATTTTTTAAGTTGTAAGAGTAGACCTTACAGAAGAGGTTGCCTCCCTGAGACCTAGAAAGGCTTTGCCACTTGCAAACTGAAAACTGACTCAGAGTTCATAAACTAAGATTTTCCATACAGTCCTTAAATATTATCATGAAGAAATTGGCAGTATTTTCCAATGCCAAGTGTTTCCTTTCTGTTTTATTTGCTGCAATTTATTTCTTTCTGATTTAACAGAAATTATTCCTGTTTCCTTGAAATGTGTTTGAATAATTATTATATTGTCTTCTGGCTAAAAATATAAACTTCTAATATCCTCTGAACTCAGTCCCTGTGCTCCCCTGCTTCCTGTCTTTTTACTGCTCTAGAATCTACTCATTTGGCCTTGACAGTTGCTCACACTCTCCATTTCAGATTGTTTCCCTATGGGTGGATCAGTTTACACTTTTCCAGCACTAATTTAATCTTAGATCTTCTCTGCAGGTCTGGTCCTGAAATACTTTGTGCAGCTGCTGCTGCAAGTGGTGTTATTGAAGTCAGTTGATCTGTGCATGTGAGTAAAGGCCATTTACAGGGCTAACTGCCTGCAGGACTGTAATCTCTGCATTTAATTACTCACACAGTATTCCCTACTTCCCCCTCTTCTGTGGGCAGTCCTATTAGATCTCAGCTTCTCATCCTCATTCAAATATCAAATGCTCCGTTCTTGACTACACAGAAAAGGTTCTGGTCTCGTCAAAATCTCTTGTGTAGCTATGTAAAAGATCTTCCTATGGATCCTAGCCTGATCTTCTATGTAACAGAAATAAAATCACAGATTTATTTTGTCTTTGTTCAGGTATCAGGACTGAACTATAAAGCTTAGAAAGACATCTGCCCTACCCCACCTTAGGCTTAAAGAGTTAGAAAAAAACTCTTGGTCAACCACTCTATTACTTAATTTTTATATTCTCCTGTTCTTTCTAGCCTGAGAGTATTAGCCTCAGTTTCTTGGCATGTAAGTTGTTTTTGCCTTTTATGATATCTTAAAGATTCCTTTTGAGATTTCAAAACTATCCATGCCCACCTATCCAGTAATGAGTGCAGAGCTAAGTACAGGAATCAAGTTGAGGCTGGACATCACAATAACCCCAGCAAATGTTGAAGATTTTACTCTTAGTGTATGATAGCACATCTAGTCTCTATTTGAAGGTATTGAGAGTTTTGCTGCCAGTTTCAGTGGATGTCACCTCAGAACCCTCCACGAAAAATGATACAATGCATGTGAAAAGTCTTCTAAAAATGGATCTGATAACACTTTACAAACAAGCTGTTGGTCACTGCTGGAGTAAAAGTATGCATTTCCTAAGACTGACCCAGTGCACCTTTTTGAAGTAGAAATATTTTTATTTTTCTGTAGAAATCAATTGCTCAGGGCAAGCTAAATCTGTATATGCTTTCCCCTTTGCTGTTTAATTGTATTTCATGTTATGTTTCCATTTAGAAAATGCCGCATGCCCTAAAATAGCCACCCCAATGCCCAGCTCATGTAAATTTTAGAACTAAGATTTATGAAATCATATTGTCCAGGTGTTTTATTATATTATCTCCAAATTGCATTGTTTTCCAGTGTAGATTATCTCTTTATTCTTACTTTATTCTATTATGTTGGGATATGAAAAATAACACTGGATTCCCCAAAACAAGTCATTGGGCAGTAGTGGCTGATGTGTTGCTTTCATACATTTTTATGATGTTCCTATAGTAAACATAATTTAATAAAGCCAAAACACACTAAATAAATAATTGCATCTAGAAAAGCAATAAAACCAAATAAAATTAGTACTTTCATAAGTGGAAAAGGTACTTCAATTACTGCTACAAGCAACAGCACACCATAAAATGTGTAGAATAATTTCCCTTATGCATATTTCTAGTATGTAATAATTTGATTGAAAATATGAGGAAACACACAGGAGGTTCAAAATTGTGAAGGGTATACAGTTTTCAGCAAAGGATGTGTAATAACAGTGTATGTAAGCCAACACTACTTTAAAGTACCTATGGTAGCCAGAGTTTTATTCCATACACTCTTCTGTACTTCATTTATCAACCACGTTTAATTTAATTTTTCTAGTTTGTTTGTCCAAAACCAATTTTTTTTTTTTTGAACAGGCAGCGAAAGAAAACTAATTCTCTGATTTCATCTCTCATTTGGATTGGGTAGCATTTTGGCTGTGTAAGCCTGGAATCCTGCCACCACCTCCTTTTTGGAACAACAACATGACTCTACTAACTGATGGGACTGATACTAGGGCAGAAGAGGAAGAGACAATGAATGACTGTCCATTCACCTCTTTCTTTCCATCCTGGCTCTTCACTTAGGAGGTCATTGGGATTTCTATGGCTGCAACACCCTTCCTGAAAAGTTAGATCATTATTCTAAAATAACATTGAAATTATTTCTGCGAATAGAATTCTATTCTTATGTGATATGTCTAGATACAGTCTTTGTCTTGTATGTCTGGTTTCTTCTGTTGGGATCACACACTTTGCAGAAATATAAATTAGGAAGAGTCACCATTTTCCACTGTATCTCCTGGCAAATGCAAAAGGATTCCTCTTCCAGATTTCTTTCAGTTTAATTGTAGTTTATTCCAGTCACAGGGCTTCCCATGGGCAACTATTCGAAAGGGTTCACAATCTGCAAAGTCTATCATGTGAACGTTTGAAAGAAACTAAAGTACGTGTATACATAGCTTTGATTTTATTGGGTTTGTCCAGTATATAAATGTGTTAGAAATTACCTAGAAGGGTTGTGTTTTTAATGAAAATTACTCTGATTTTTATGTCATAATTACCAGAATGCAAATTTTTGCTCTTTCTAGGCTTAGCTGGTTTGTTCCTTGGCAGCCTCAAGGATGTTTCACTGTGAGCACTGTCAGACTGAAAGTTCTAAGATCACTTTTATCCAAATTTGTAATTAGGTATGAAGAAAACAAGCAAATAATAACCTCATAAATTTAACTTGTCTGGAAAAACAGCTGATGCCAACTTGCACTTACAGATTGCTGAAATCTCACTGTTCCATGACCACAACAGTTATTAGAAAGACAACAAAATGTGAATTTATAATTAAAAAACAAACAAACAAAACAAAGACAAAAACAAAAACACCACATTCCCCCGATTCTAGTTTAATGTCAAAAATAAGTAGAAAAGGGCTCACTTCCTAATTCATTTCAGTCTTAAATATTTTTGTGATTACTGCCACAGACTGCTTGGAATTACTGCTGCAGACTGTGTGGAATTATTTGCTTACTGCCTTGGAATTCAGTGCCTATATGATCAAAGTGTGATGGAGTTTTTGTTTGGGATGCAGAATGACTGTAACACAGGATCAAGGCATGAAAATCATTTCTCGACCAAAATGAATTTTCACCTCTGGGTTTTCTGGATTTAACAAGTATATGTCCAAAGTTCCAGTCAGAGCTTCATAATATTTCCAGTAGCTCTGATGTCCTGCAGCAACACTTGAAAATGAAACCTCACCCTCATTGGCATGCCTTGTGCTCATGGGTGAATGTGTTAGGTCAGCAAGGATAAAGCTTTGGCCATTATGCATATGTTTGCTGATTTGATTGCCAGTGTATGGCAAATTGCCACCTATGGACTGGCCACACTGTGCTGTTGGGTGCATGCTGTGGTGCCAGGGAATGTTGTAAAAATTGCAAATGGGAAAGACACAGAGTCAAGAGGTGACGGTGAGTTTTGTTTGATCCAGTCTCCAGGAACTGCAAATCTCTCCAGGTTACTCCACTGTAAAAAGAGAGCAGTCCTGCCCCAGTGCCACAAAGTAGATCTTTCTTAGCAAGCACCTGCTGGAGCTACCATTTTTTCTCTCTCTTTCTCCTGCAAAGGCCAAACTCAAATTTTTGACTTTTTAATATTTGGGAAACATCCTGTTTCGTAGTCACGCTTGGTAAAGAGCTCCACAGGAAAAATATGGATAATGTCCAGATCCCACAGCTCAGGAGCATCCTGTGGCACTGGCTGAGCAAGTGCAGTCAAAAAATGTCTAGACAGGACTCTCCAGAAAAACTGGATGGGCTTCAGCCACAGAAAGAGATTGCTGCTTCTGTCTGCATGAATGCCCAGATGAGACAGAAGGGCAAAATGAGTGCTGCCTAAGGAAAAGGGGATACCTCATCTTTTCCTCTGCATACCTCCTGTTCATAAGCATCCTTTTTTTTAAGCTGTGCTAGGATATGGCATATGGCTGCCAGATTGGCCA